AATTCCGTTACGGTTTTTTTGGTTCTCATGCAGCCCTCTAATACATAATTATGTACATGTATGCATACATGTAAATATGTATATATACGTGAGCACGCATAGCATAAAGCATTCCAGCCTTATACACGCGCTCATTTGTATGTGTGTATGTATGTACACATAAATGCGTACTCTAGCAAATTCTTAGAAGCTCGTTGCGATTGATTTGCCTTTGCATTGTTTTTGAATTCCCAGTCGCTATACTGGCTTTTCTATGCTATAGGCATCATAACAATAATGTGATTTCGTTTTGATTACTGTTGCTCGAAACGACGCGGTGGTGCTGTAGGAAGAAGCGCCGGCGATATTTATTTAAGTTATTTTGACAAACATGCTATTTGGCTTAGGTGCGAGTTCAAATCCCGCAGAAAACTCGTTTTTGTAAATTGCAAATTTTTTTGTTATTTTAACTTTATTATATTTTATTAATTTTGTAACAATGTTTCCTTCCGTGCTATCAATGCCTATTAAGCCTATTTATGTGAGCAAATACATAAATAGAAGGCTGACGCATATATGTTAATGCCGTGATTCGGGCCCTATAAATGCCGAAAATCGAAAAATAGCATGTAATTTTCAATGGGAAATCAGGGTATAATGGTTTTGTTGAAATGTATGTAACCGGCAGAAGGAGGCGTGGCAGACCCCACAAAGTATATATATATATTCTTGATCAGGGCGACGAGCTGAGTTGATTTGGCCCTGTCCGTCTGTCCGTATGTATGAACGCGTCGATTTCAGAAGATATAAGAGCTAGAGACTTCAATTTTGTTTTAAATGTCCGTAATTACAGCGCGCATATCAAGTTTATCATTAAAAATCGATAACTCATCCCGATCTTTTTTTATCGATAAAAAACCTTATCGAAAACCAGTTATAAAATTATATCTTCTACACCTTTATTGCTAGTCTCCAAATTTTTAATTTATGCTTATATGCAATTTATACAATTTCGGTTATTGTAATTTACCCCCACCCCTATATTCACCCCCTCACCATCACTTTTGTAAAAAAATAGTAGAGACTTGTGCTTTGGCAATTACATGCATATCCATGTTGTAATCATAATCTGAAAGTTCCATGAAGATCGTATGTCCACAAAAAAGTTATTAAGCAATTAAGTTCTCATAGTAAGCGCCCACTGCAGCCCATGCGTGTTTATGCGTGGGTGCTTGTGTGTGTATGTGTTTTTTTTTTTTTTTTTTATATTCATTTATTGACAAAATAACAAATTGCAAGTTGCGTGGTGGCTAGGATAGCGCGCGGTGCTTGCGGGACGGCCGTAAAGCATTGCTTCGCAAGCACTATGCGCTACCTTAGCCTGGGACAGCTCGTCTTCTCGATCGCTCGACTCTGCGGAGCTCCATCATCACCGTGGCCGCGAAGGTGCTTGTTAGTTCCCAAGCTTCCTCCGATTCCAGCATGGCGTTGACTAAGTTGTCCGCTCTGATGGAGCGGCCCACTGCCTCTTCCAGACGACGCCTCTCCTCCAGGAACCGTCCACATTCGAAAAGAATGTGGTTGACGTCTTCCACATGCCCTCGCTCGCACCAGGGGCACTCGTCAGATTCCTCGTGGCCAAAGCGCTTCAAATAGCTCCGAAAGCATCCATGACCCGAGAGGATCTGCGTAAGGTAGAAGTTAACCTCGCCATGTTTGCTGTTGACCCATGGTTCAAGCTCCGGGATGAGCTTGTGCGTCCAGCACCCTTTAGCTGAGCTATTCCACCTTCTTTGCCATCGTGCGATACTGTTCGCCCTGACAGCGTTGAGTCGCGTAGGCCCGTGCGAATTCCGCTCCACGGCTTCGGCGACCAAATACTCCAGTGGCACCATACCGGCTATGACGAGCGCCGCGTCATCGGAGATAGCCCTGAAAGCGTAGCTGACTCTGATTGCGCTCAGCCTGTAGATCGCGCAAATGCCTCGGCTGTAGCTCGGCGTTGCCATCGCTCTTGCCCATATTGGCGCAGCATAGAGGATGACAGACCTAATGACGCTCATTAGGAGGAGACGTCGTTGCTGTTTAGGTCCCCGCGTGTTAAGCATGATTCTCGAGAGAGCTCTACAAGAATCAGCTGCCTTTTTATGCACATATTCTACTTAGAGCACTTGCTCGCGGAAAGTTAATCTTGTGTCTATCATGACACCAAGATATCTTATCGCCCTCTTTGACGCAATGGTGACGCTGCCGATTTTTATATTGGCAGTTTCCACTCTTTTGCGACTGCTGACTAGTACAACTTCGGTCTTGTGTGCCGCTAGCTCGAGCCCAGCTCCTGTCAACCAGCTTCGTATGCGATTGATACTTTCGCTGCACATATCCTCTGTATCTTTGAGCTCCTTTCCTATGGCTACGACAGCTACATCATCAGCAAAGCCAATGGTGTGCGCGCCTGCTGGTAGTTCCAAGCGCAGTACGCCGTCGTACATGATGTTCCATAGAAGAGGCCCCAGCGCTGAGCCTTGGGGTACTCCAGCTGACACTGTATGAGTTTGGGGACCCTCACTCGTGTTGTATACCAGTGTTCTTCCTCTGAAGTAGCTCTTTATTATCTCTCTTAGATATTTAGGGATATTATATTGTGACAGCGCATTCAGTATCATATCCCAACTAGCTGTGTTGAAGGCATTCCTTACATCCAGGGTCGCGATGATGCAGTATTCCTTCGTCCCGTGCCTCCATCTGGTGCCTTGAATAGCGGAAGTGGCCAGACCGACAACTTTGTTAAGCGCGTCCGTTGTTGACCGGGCCTTCCGGAATCCAAATTGGTTTGGTGACAGGTCTCCGGCGCTTGCAATCGCAGTCTCCAGCCTAGAGCAGATCAGTTTCTCAAACACCTTTCCCATGGTGTCTAAGAGACAGATCGGTCTGTACGAAGATGGCTCATCTGGTGGTTTGCCAGCCTTGAGGGCTAGCTTTAGCGCACGATTTGGGATCCCGTCCGGCCCTGGAGCTGTGTTGGTTCTAAGACCTCGGAGAACTACTGATATTTCTTCCTCTGTGACTAAAACAATTTCAGTGCTCGTTCAGCCCTGATCAGCAGACTCGGACTCAGGGGCGTGAATGGAGCTTTAACTTTCTGGAAAGAGTGTTTCCACAATCGATTTAAGCTCCAGACGATCCGTAGGCTGCATCTGTCTACCTGCGTATAGTCCTTTAACTACTATCTTATATGCCCTGCCCCAAGGGTCATATTCGGCTGAGTCGCACAACTGTAAAAAACATTCTCTTTTGCGTGCCCGAATGGCCTTCTTCAGCTGTCTTCTAGCTGCCTGGTAAGCTAACTGTTTCTCAAGAAACGTTGGCCTACCGCGAGCCCGTTGGTAGCTTCTTCTCGCCTGGATGCATTTGCGACGAATGTCACCTATTTGCGTATTCCACCAATACGTAGGCTCATGTTGTCGCGTGAACTGCTTGCGGCGTAACATGCTGCTATTGCAGGCACTCTGTATTTGGGCTACCATTTGGCATGCTCTGGCCTCAGCATTACCAATTGTACCCAGAGACTGAATGGCCTCTGAAAAGACCGCTGGATCAAAAGTATCTAGCCGATACGACTCCCTCCACAATGTTGACGCCCTGGCAGGTGGCTCACCTATTGTGAACAGAAGTGCCGTATGATCGCTGCCTGTATAGCTATCGCAATGGCTCCATGTTGCTCCCCGAAAGAGGGATGAAGTGACAAAAGTAATGTCGATAACAGACCCGTATCCCGCCCGACTGAAGGTGTACTCATGGCCAGTGTTGAGCAGTGCAACATCAAGTGTCGCGAAGATCTCCAGTAGGATACGACCTCTGGCATTTGTTGTGGGGCTACCCCATTCTAGCGCCCAGGAGTTAAAATCTCCAGCTATAATGGCCTTCCGACCCCTAGCATCCTCGGCAAGCTCGTCGAGCACCGTCGTGAATTCACTAAGCTGCATGCTGGGGGCCAGATAGCAACTGTAAAGCCATAAGCTACCATATCGGCCACGTACGAACCCATTGAATGACTTAACATTCGAAAGTACGTTCGTTGAGTTGCCGCATACCCACAACGCAGCTTTGCCATTAACGTCTGTTGACCATGTCCTAGGGCAGCTGGTTCTACAGTGGTGAGGCTCACTGAGAAAAGCTACATCTATACATTTTTCCCTAATGGTCTGCTCTAGAAGATCTTGGGCAGCAACACAATGATTTAAGTTAAGCTGCAAAAACCTTAACATTTCATTTTACGAGCAGCTTCATGGTAAGATGGGCACTTGAAGCTGCCTGCTGAATGGTCCGTCTGCTTTTCACCTTTCCGGATGCAGAGGCTACATTTTGGTGGCTTGGTGCATGCTTTGGCACTGTGACCCATCTCTCCACACCTGAAACAGGCGCCCTTTAAGTCACAGTCGCTGCCGCAGTTTGCTGCCATATGACCGTAATCGAGGCTGTGTATGTGTGTGTGTGTATGCGTTTGTGTGTGTATGACGTGTGTGTGTGTATGTGTGTGTGTATGCGTGTGTGCGTAGGTATGCCTATGTGTGCGTGCGTGTGTGTGTGTGTGCGTGTTTCTTGTGTAAGCTGAAAGACGCGAAAAATTATTGAAATAGCTATTACTCCAAGGGTTCAGGGGATCTCGTAGTCGAGCAGTCTCGACTATAGCTTTCTTACTTGTTACATTTGTTTTAGCGTAAGTATTGGAATTTTTTAGTTAGGTTACCGTTAGCTCGTTCTAAGAACTGACCAAAATGGTGTCTACGCTTAGTAGGGGCTTAGCCAATCGGGAAAAACTGTATTTTCTACAGCATTAAAGCCAAACGTAGCTACTAAATTGCTGATGGGATGTGAATGAGTATTCTGGAGTCGGTAACGCCTGACTGCAACGCTCTTACTTGATTTCTAGCAGATGCTTTACATGTACATGTATGTTTAACGATATAATCAATTTTCTTGCTGATTTTTGACATTTATTATGAATATTTGCTTTGCAGGGGAGAAACCTCATATTTGTTCGGTTTGTGGAAAAGGATTTAGTACTTCAAGCTCTCTAAATACTCACAGGTAAAAACATATCATAAAATACACAACAAATTAGGTAAATAATATCTACAACATTATAATAGACGGATTCACTCAGGTGAAAAGCCCCATGAATGTCAAGTATGCGGAAAAAAGTTTACTGCTAGCAGTAACTTATATTATCATAGGATGACACACATAAAGGTAATAATTCAATTATTTCAATGCACTGAAGTCATAAATAACCAAAAAAAAAAAAAAACAAGTAGCTATAGTCGGGACTGGGCGATTATGAGATCTCCTGAACCCTTTGAACACCTGATATTTCAATAATTATTCGCACATGCACACACGCACATACACACAAGCATACGCATTAGCTGAAGTATGGGTTCACTACGGTGACTTGATTGCTTTTCTTGTTGACGGACTATATTCATGAAACTCTCAGATGTCAAAGTACAAGCACTAACCAGAGAACACATAAACTAGACCTGTAGAACAAACTTTTCTACAGCAGAAAATGTTAAGTTGGTCGACGACTATACGACGAGCGTGCACACAAACATCGAAACGCTACATTTTAATTGCATGAGCCGGACAAACGCTTTTATGATCGAGTTATACCCTACACTCAAATGAAAAGATCTGGGATCGTCGCGGACAAATTTCAATTTTTCTGCGCTGCTGAGTTCGGTGATTTGAGAGACGATAGAGGGAGATAGAGAGAGAGGACAATAGCAAATGTTCCACCAATTTAACATTTTCTGCTGTAGAAAAGTTTTTTCTACATGTCTAGTCTATCTGTTCTCTGGTTAGTGGTACAAGTCTATGATATTGAAATACGCCTTTTGTGAGGATAAGGTTGACAAGGTGGATATAGGGGTAAAGGTTAAATTTTAGGAAAAGCCAAAATTCTATAAAGTACATATGAATCTACATTTAAAATTTGACGGCTTTATTTGACCTTAAAGATATAGCAGATATAAATTTATTCGTGATTTTCGGTAATGTTCTAACCGATAGAAAAAATCGATATGCGCGTGGTATACATGGGAAAAAAATTACAATCCTCTAGCTCTTAAGCTGGGTACACACGATGCAAACAATTTGCGGCCACTTAAAAATAATTTGCAGCAAAAGTTTGCACAAATGCTCACACCAATGCAAATATTGCATGCAAATTACTTCAATTTTTGTTTTGCACGCAAATTGTTGCATGGCTATTTCGTGCAATATATTGCGTTAATGTCTACACGTGCTTTCATTTTTTGTTTGCATTGCTTGCAAGTGGACACTCATTTGCAAGTTCTGTTGTTTTGAAAAAGTCAAGGAATAGCGACGTGTTTATATTATGTCGGCACAAAAATCGAGATTTGCTCCTGTTGCTATATTAGCCATTTTGATAAAAAAAAAAAAAGTGAGAAGATCAAAGTCTGCCAAAAAAAAAAGTGAGGAGATCAAAGTCTGTCAGAAAAGAAAGTGTTGGGTGAATGAGTGGATCAGAACCTTTTAAAAGAGCTGCAATATGGCGATGAAACAAACTATTACAATTATTTCGCATGTCTATCAGTGATTTCATTTTTATACCCTGAACCCATTTTCAATGGAAAATCAGGGTATAATGGTTTTGTTGAAATGTATGTAACAGGCAGAAGGAGGCGTGGCAGACCCCACGAAGTATATATATTCTTGATCAGGGTGACGAGCTGAGTCGATTTGGCCCTGTCCATATGTCTGTCTGTCCGTCAGTCCGTATGTATGAACGCGTCGATTTCAGAAGATATAAGAGCTAGTGACTTAAAATTTGATCTTAAAATGTCCGTATTTACAGCGCGGATATCGAGTTTATCATTAAAAATCGAAAACTCGTCCCGATATTTTTTAGACTCATTCACGAAAGTGAAATGAGTATATTGGTTTTGTGCAATGTCCGTCTTGCTGTTCGTCCGTCTGTCCGTCTGTCCGTCTGTCCGTATGAACGCAATCTATTTCGGCGCTATTGAAGCTAGAGACTTGAAATTTGGAACACATACTCGTGTATATCTCCGATTTATAAAGTGTTAAAATTTTCCCGATCCGCCTACTAGGGGCGTGGCAAATCGGAAAATGCATTTTCCGATATACCATAAATCATGTTTGTTGAAGAGCTAGAAAGCTGAAATTTGGTATGTAGGTCCGCGCCGGCCACCCAAGATCACAAGCTATGGCGGATATATCTCCGCCCATTAGGGGCGTGGCAAATCGGACAAAACTGTATCTCCTAAAGTTATAAACTTAGAATGCTGAAATTTTGCACGTAAGCTAATGTTTTAATTCTATGAAGATGGGTGAAATATATCTACGCCCACTAGGGGCGTGGCAAATCGGACCTGAAGATATAGTGATTTTTCGAATTCTGCTATATTTTAGGCACTATTGATGCTAGAGATCTGAAATTTGGTATATATACGCGGGTTGATCACCCAAGTCCAACGAGCTATGGTAGATATATGTCCGCCTATAGGGGGCGTGGCAAACCGCAAAAGTTTATATCTCCTACAGTTTAAGAGCTAGAAGCTTCAAATTTGGATAGTTAAGTTACTGGTGGCCTCCTCTATCGATGCCCCAAAAATAATTTTTAAGCCTCTTTAGGGGCGTGGCATATCGAAAAATACCCTGTAATTTTCACATTTTTTGAGCGTAAGAATTCAAATTTTGCATTTAGGTAACCGGTTGCTCGTTCTAAGAACTGGCTAAAATTGAGGAGCAGACGGCCACTAGGGGCGTGGCAATCGGCATTTACAGTGCCCGAATTGCGACATTTATATGCGTCATGCGTCATCTATTTATGTATATGTACACATAAGTAGGCTTATAGGCATTGATAGCACGGAAGGAAACATTTTTATAAAATTAATAAAATATAAAAAAGCTAAAATAACAAAAATTTGCAATTTACAAAAAAATGTTTTCAGCGGGATTTGAACTCGCACCCAACCCAAACAGCATGATTGTCAAAATAGCTAAAATAAAGATCGCCGGCGCTTCAGCCTACAGCACCACCGCGTCGTTTCGATTAATAGTAGTTAAAATGAAATCACATTATTGTTATGACGCCACATAGCAAAGAAAAGCCAGTGTAGCGGCTGGAAATTCAAAAACAATGCAAAGACAAATCAATCGCAACGGGATTCTTAGAATATGCTAGAGCACGCATTTATGTGTACATACATACACACATACAAATGAGCGCGTGTATAAGGCTGGAATGCTTGATGCTATGCGCGCAGGCAAACATATATAATTATATATACATATGTATGTATTTGCGTATATGTTTTGAGGGCTATTTAAGAAGAACAAATTTAAACTTATAAAATTATTCGACTAAGAAAATGAAAAGTATTAAGTGCCATTCAGTCAAGCTCGAACCTTCCCAATAAAATATCTATTTTATAAAAAACGAAATATGTATGGAAAAAAAAAAATAATAATAATAACATAGTAGAGGTTCGAACCTCCCCTACTCTAACATTACTTGTGTCGCCCTTAGCACCCGCGCCACTGCTTTGATCGAAGAATCAGTTGCTAAAATAGAATAGCTTAATAAGAGAGCGTCATCAGACAAAACTACAGTAACGGCTAGAAAGTCCAGAAATCAATCGAAATTCTAAGAATGTGAGAAAAGGCACGCTTCTGTCTGTACGCATAGAATAGACGATGGTGTGTGCACAAGCATAGGAAAATCGCGCTGATCTGCTGTTAGCTTGAATGTATGGATATAAATACATATATAATAAAAATCAAAATGGTATAAATTATATATGTATGTAATTTGAATGCAATAGCTATCGATGATTTTCCAATTTTAATGGCAAAATGCCGTGTTTTTTGCTGCGCACTAGACTTGAAAATTGCACTATATACTCTGGTTGACAGCGTTTGGGCTGTGAATGAGTCTTCTGCAATCGGTATCGCCCGACTGCAACGTTCTTACTTGTTTATAGATGAAAAACCTTATCGAAAATCAGTTATAAGATTATATCTCCTACATCTTTAGAGCTACAGTCTCCAAATGTGTTTCAAATACTAGAGACATGTGCTTTGGCAAGTGCACGCATATTATGGTTATAATTACGATCTGAAGTTCTGAAGTTTCATGAAGATCGTATGTCCACAAAAAAACAATTACGTTCTCATAGTAAGCGCACACTGCAGCCCATGCGTGTTTATGCGTGGGTGCTTGTGTGTGTATGTGTTTTCGTATGAGCGTGTGTATGTATCTATGTATGTTTGTGTGTATGTGTGTGTGTATGTATTGCTCGAAGGCCTCTCGTAGCACTAGATACTACTAATAAAAATGCCCATTTAGTATGGTCGGGATTCGAACCTGCGACTTCTCGATCGAGCGTCACGCAGCTACTAACTACGCCACCTTACTTTCGGAAGCCGATTTGGCAAAACTGAAATAGATTCACTGCACAGAACACATAGACCGAACAAGTAGTGTAAAGCGTTTTGCACACTTTTTTCGAGCATTAGTTCCCAGACCACTTCGTATTTGCTCGGCTCCTCACTTTTAGGTTCGGGCTACGAAAATATGGGAACACAAAATCTCATCTCTTCATGCGCTCGGCCGAGATGGTCGACTGTTGAACAAAAGATCCCTCTATGCTGAATGTTTCCCTTGCTCTCTCTCTCGATGCTCTCTCCTCTCTCCTCTGTCAAATATGTATATGTATGTATGCATGTGAGCACAAGCAGCAGCTCACGAAAATTGAAATTTCGTCGAAGCAAGGACCTATGTCTTCCCTTCTGAGTGAAGAGTATTCCGAACTCTTCAAGCCGTTTGACATGCGTTTTCGTTATTATTTGTGGGAAGGGTATGAAAGCGTTGATGCGCATAATGAAAATGTTTTCGCGACGAGCATGCACACACACACACACTTACATTATGCTACATGTACTATGAGCCTACTGTGTGCCTGTGTGCGAAGCTCTTGCTGCCTATAGCAATTTTAAATCCCAGCATTTGCATTTGGTCGATTTTGTGACGTGCTCAAATACATATGTAGGTATGCATGTATATAAGTTAAGACTTTTGACAATCTAAGGAGGCTGGAGAGACCAGTCAGACATTCAAGGGGAGAACCTAACCAGTTGAACAGATTTAGTTCAGTTTATATTCGGACTAGAGAGAGTTTAGACCTATTGTTCCAAAT